TGATAAGTTACGCACAAACTAAACTGTTCATAATTTATTCTTCATGGTACACCAGCATTCATAACATGTAGGTGAATCACTGTCCTCCAGACATAAGCGGTTATATTTTTTATATTTATATTTGTTGTGGGAAAAAAAAAAGCATTCATCAGATGAAAACTGGGATCCTATCTCAATCCCACTGAAGCTGTCGCCTTATTGTTTTTAAATAATTAGTAAAAGAGAATTTGTAAAGAAAAAGAATGAAGGGGATAAGCATCTCCCTGAAATTAGTTTTTGGAACTTCGGATGTCTGAGAATATCTTTCTTTTATCTGCAGTGTATATATATTTAAATTAGAAGGGTGATGCTCGTTCCATGCAGGAAGTCCATAAACTGTAGTTAAAAGCCTTCAGCTGAGCCAAAATGCTGAAGCCAGAGTTCTTATGAAGAGTAAAAACAAATCATATTTCTGCTCTTACCTCCACTCTGCTTTTTCTCATTATAGTAGCTTCATATGTCTGTTCCTGTTCCTTCTGTCTCCTTGAACCCTCAGCAGATGGCTGCTCACACTGAGCCTGGTTCTGGTTGGAGGTTTCTTCCTGTTTAACGGGAGTATTCCTCTCCACTGTCGCTACAACCATGGTTGGTATGAGGGAATACTGAGGAGTCAATGAGTAGATGTAATCAGCTTGTTTTCCTTAGATTACTTTGAACCAATCTGACTGAATGATCTGGTTGAATTGTCTCTGTAAAGTTCTTTGAGTTGACATGAGTTGTGAGTTGGCACTATAAATATGAACTTATCGGAAATTTAATGGAATATAGTGAGGAAAATACGTATTTGAACACACTATTTTGCAAGCTCTCCCTCTTAGTAATCTTGGGGCGGTCTGAAATTGTCACCATAGGTGCATGTCCACTGTGAGAAACGATCTAAAAACAAAAATCCAGAAATCACAATATATGATATTTTATTTGTATGTGTTGAGAATAACTGTTATATTCCTAGCCTAGCAAGCTGGTATACAATGTTATGTTCTAATGCTTTAAGATGTTTATTGCCCTCCCCGATAGGGGTGGCAAATATCTTTTTCAATCAGATATTATTTGGACTGTCATATATTGTTTATTAACACACACCAAACTAGCTGTGTGTTAGAACAATAAATGAAAGAGTTGAGCTCAAATCAAAGTCAAACAGATAATTCTGCACACAAATGGAATTAGTTCACCACAACAAGTGTTCAAAATATAAGAGATTATTAACAAAAATAATTCATCTCCAAGTCAAACATATTTCAGTTAAAAACTCTTGACTAAAACTAGTGAAACTAAAAAGAAAATACTATGTAGAAGAGGAAGGGGAAACATGGTTTAAAACCATATTACAGTTTAAGATGAAGTTTGTGTTTGAAAACCAACATTTATCTTGGAGAATGCGGGATGAGATCAAATTAGCTTTTCATTCATTTGGAGCAATTGGAATGTTTTGCACCCAAATCACAATGCAAATCCAAGGGATTAATAAAACATTATTTGGCCAAATAATGTCATATGTTGTGCCATAATACAGCTGCTTATGACACAACATATATACAGCTACAAATACTTCTGGACATTTTTTAATAAATGTAAAAATGGCCTGCCCCAGCGGACCTTATACTGTATTAGGGCTGCAACAACGAATCGATAAAATCGATAAAAATCGACTTTTAAAAGCGTTGGCAACGAATTTCATCATCGATTAGTTGTGTC